ACATTACATTGAAGAAAAAAAAAGGATTAGTGAGCTTGAAAGCATTGCAATAGAAACATATAAATATAAGAGAAAAACATTTTTAAAGAAAAAAAGATTAGTGAGCTTTGGGATAACTTTAAGTCACTTAGTATATGTATATTTGGAGTCCTCCCAAAAGAAGACTGAGAGCAGAAACAACATTTGAAGAAATAATTGCTGAAAACTTGACAAACAACAGATCCAGTAACCATAATGAACCCCAAGTACAAGAAAACTATACAGTCATACACCACATAAAGACGTTTTAGTCAATGATGGATTGCATGTATGGTGGTGGTTCCATAAGATTATAATACCATATTTTAATGTGCATTTTCTTTGTTTAGATACTCAAATACCATTTTGTTATAGTTTCCTACAGTATTCAGAACAGTAACATGCTGTGCAGCTTTGTAGCTTAGGAGCAATAGGCTACTATATAGCCTAGGTGCGTAGTAGGATATACCAGCTAGGTTTGTGTAAGTATACTCCATGAAGTTTGCACAGTGACAAAATTCTTTTGTCAGAACAATGAATTCCTGTCACAAAGCAACATGTGACTGTATGTTTTTTTAAAAACTCAGCAAGACCCATCATAAATTGCTAAAAAGGAATTATGGGCAATTTAGGATTGAAGATTTTAATAATAGAAGGATTCAGTCATGGGGCAATTACAATTAGGCAAGCAAATAAATGCCTCTTAAATGGTATACACTGTACCACAGGATCTGGGAATTTTCTCATCCAAAATTCAACTGGTTTCTGCTAGGTGGCATTCACTGGGTTTTATAGTATGGCCCGGTCTACAGTCCACACAGAGTTATTGGACTGAATTTGTCAGTACAAGCATTCTAGCTTCTAACAAGTCATTAAAATGGTAATCTCTTTTTGTCCACCAGGTATTCTATTTTGTTTCAAATTAACAACCTGTGTGAGCTTGGGCAATTCTATTGGTTACCAATTAGCATGTTCAGTCAGTATTTGGTATACATCTTCTGTTTTACAGTACTTGGTAAAAGAAGTATTCCCAGTCAGGCATAATGTGCATTCTTGTAATATATTCAGGTAGAGGAGATATAATCACTTGACATAAAATCTGTTCATTCATTCCAAATCTTGTCCAACCTTTCACCTTAATCCCATCAACTGTTCATATTCTCCCAGTCTAACTGGAGCCCCCAGTAGAACTTTACTGAAGGGTTTTTAAATCATGGTGCATTGGGCTTCCATGTCAGAGCCCCAGAAAACTTTATTCCTCACCCCCTCAGCATTTTACACATGTGCTTTGCTGCACATAGGGAATTTGGGTTCCTAGCTAGGGGTTTTGCGAAGGAGTGCTGGTCTGTTTGTCAGTCTTTTCCCTGATTAGTTTGTTCACCCCAGGTGATTTGAAGTCAAGTTCCTCCTTGTTGTCATTGCAGCTTTTTGAAAAAAAAAATTTAGTTGACAGATAAAAATTGTACATATTCAAGGTGTACAACATGATGATTTGATATATGTATATGTTGTGTAATGATTTTGCCTTACAGCTTTTTAGATTCTTCCAAACTAGGGTAAATGGAGCAATTTGTTTTCAGCAATCTTCAATATCAAAGGACTGCATAGGCTCCTGTTGGTCCACCTCACCTCCAACTGTGCTGTTTTGAGACCTTTGTTTGGCTCCCATCAATGTCCACTTTATTCGTCCTATTTCTTAAAAACCGTTTAAAGTACCAAGAGTTGGGCAAGGGCAAAGCCTTTCTTTGGGCAAGATTAATCATTTACTGAGCTGAGGATTAGGGTGATACTGATTTACTCCCAAATTTTAAACTAGTGTTTCAATACTGGGTTACAGAAAAACCCAATTCTTCTAATATTCCTGCAGTATCACATGACCACCCATTTTATACTTTTCCCATTTATCTGAACTTATAGCTGATTTCTCCCACAGTCTGTCACCATTGTAGCCTTTGCTGAGCAATGTCCCCTTTGCTAAGATTGTGTTTTATGGAATTCTAAAAACAGATAAACAAACAAAAAAACAGTATTTTCACTGAACTTCACACATTTTGAAGTCTAGCTACAGCAGAGTTTTTCCTAAGTCCATTCACGCCTGACTCATTTGATGTCTTTTTCTTAGGTTATGATTAGTCTGGATTTCTACCTTCTATTAACCTACTGTCAGATCATTGCTGATATATTATTTGTTAACAAGCTCTCTGTCCTTTCACCTCAGAAACATCCTCTGGTTATACTTATTTAATTATCACATTATGATACAGAGATGATATTTCTCCCCTTTTCAGAATATATAGTATGATATTGTATGTATAGAAATATATACAGGCATACCTTGAAGATATTGCAGATTCAGTTCCAGACCACCATAATAAAGTGAATATCACAATAAAGCAAGTGACACAAATTTTTTGGTTTTCCAGTGCATATAAAAGTTATATTTCTACTGTAGCCTATTATGTGTGTTATAGCATTATATCTAAAAATGTGTTTTTTAGATATATGTATTAAATAATTTATTTAAAAATACTTTGTTGCTAAAACATGCTAGTGATCATCCAAGCCTTCAATGAGTCATAATCTTTTTGTTGGTGGAGGGTCTTGCCTTGATGTTGATAACTGCTGACTGATCAGGGTGATGGTTGCTGAAGGTCAGGTTGGCTGTGGCAATTTCTTACAATAAGACAACAATGAACCTTGCCACATTGATCGACTTCCTTTCATGACAGATTTCTTCATAGCATGTGTTGCTATTTGACAGCATTTTACCCACAGTAGAACTTCTTCCAAATTGAAGTAAATTCTCTCAAACTCTGCCACTGCTTTATCAACTAAGTTTGTGTAATATTCTAAATCCTTTGTGGCTATTTCCACAGTGTTCACAGCATCTTCACCAAAAGTAGATTCCATCTCAAGAAACCACTTTCTTTGCTCACCCATAAGAAGCAACTCCTCGTTTATTCAAGTTTTATCATGATATTGCAGCAATTAAGTCACATCTTCAGGCTCCACTTCTAATTCTAGTTTTCTTGGTATTTAAACCACATCTATAGTGACTTCCTCCACTGAAATCTTGAACCCCTCAAAGTCATCCATGAGAATTGGAATCAACTTCTTCCAGACTCCTGTTAATGTTAATATTTTGATGTCTCATGAATCATGAATGTTCTTAATAACATCTATAATGGTGAATTCTTTTCAAAAGTTTTTCACTTTACCCAGATCCATAAGAGTAATCACTATTGCAGCTATATCCTTACAAAATGTATTTTTTAGATAATAAGATTTGAGGCCTGGTGTGGTGGCTCATGCCTTTAATCCCAGCACTTTGGGAGACCAAGGCAGGAGGATCACCTGAGGTCAGGAGTTCAAGGCAAGCTAGGCTAACATAGCAAGACACATTGTCTTTACAAAAAATTAAAAAATTTGTTGGGTGTATCAGCATCATACACCTATAGTCCTAGCTGCTTGGGAGGCTGAAGTGAGAGTATCACTTGAGCCCAGGAATTTGAAGCTACAGTGAGCTATGATTGTGCCACTGCACTCCAGCCTAGGTGACAGAACAAGACCCTGTCTCAAAAAAAAAAAAAAAAATATTAAGACTTGAAAGCCAAAATGACTCCTTGATCCATGGGCTGTAGAATGAATATTGTGTTAGCAAGCATGAAGATAACATTAATCTCCTTGTACACCTCCATTAGAAATCTTAGGTGACCTTGTACATTCTCAATGTGCACTAATATTTTGAAAGGAATCTTTTTTTCTGAGTAGTAAGTCCTAGCAATGGGCTTAAAATATTCAAGTTGGGCACAGTGTCTCCCAACTGTAATCCTATCACTTTGATAGGCCCAGGCGGGAGGATTGTGTGAGGCCAGGAGTTTGAAACCAGCCTGGGCAATAGTGAGATGCCCTCTCCACAAAAAACAAAAGAAAATTAGCTTGGCATAATGATGTGCACCTGTAGTCCCAGCTGCTAGTGAGGCTGAGACAAGAGGATTACTTGAGCCCAAGAGTTGGAGGCTGCAGTGAGCTATGATGCTGCTGCTGCACTCCAGCCTGGGTGACAGAGCGAGACCCTGCTCAAAAATAATACTCAGTAAACCATTCTGTAAACGGATGTGCTGTCATCCAGGCTTTGTTGTTTTATTTATAGAGCACAGGCAGAGTAGATTTAGCATAATTATTGAGAACCCTGAGATTTTTGGAATAGTAAATGAGCATTGACTTCAAATTAAAGTCACCAGCTACATTAACCCCTAGCAAGAGAGTAAGCCTGTCTTTTGAAGCTTCGAAGCCAGGCATTTACTTCTCTCTAGCTATGAAAGTCCTAGATGGCATCTTCTTCCAATATAAGGCTGTTTCATCAAGAATGACTGAACACAAATCATCATAACAGATGTACTAATAATGAAAAAGTTTGAAATATTGTAAGAATTACAAAAATGTTACACAGAAAGGTGAAGTAAACTCATGCTGTTGGAAAAAATGGCACTGATAGACTTTCTTAATGTAGGGTTGCCACAAACCTTCAATTTATAATAAAATACCGTATCTGCAAAGCTGAATAAAGTGAAGTGGAATAAAATGATGTATGCATATGTAATTAACCAAGTCTTCCTTCAATTTGGATGATCACCCAGGACAATATTTATCAAGCTTCCCAAATATTTCTGAGTCATACAAATATTTGAGAATCATTGTAATCTCTATTTTACCTTTGAAATTTTTCATTCTCTGCTTTCCTTGTTCATTTGTTGAGATGCATAGCTCCATTTTAGTAGTTTCTTAGCCATTCACTATTAGAGGTTTATTTGAAAATGTTTTCATTTCAGTTTTACCTTTCCCACTATAGAAGTTTTGTTTCTCCCAGATTACAAAAAAGGCCAATATTTCCTTTTTATTTCATTTCAGATCAATCATCAACATCTGTAACCAAGAAATCATCTTTAAGGAAAAAAATTAGTAATGTAAAATCATTCCAGTTGGAGTTAATGGAAAGAATTATAAAGCTGGGACCAAGTGTCAGAGGTATTTGGGAATGTAAAGATCAGCCTGAGAGAAAACAGTCACTTCAGAAGGCACATTTTGGCCAAGTAATAATCACCCATGAAGATGTACCTGCTTTCAATCAGCACGTATCCCTTACTCTACACCAAAGAATTGACAATGAAGAGAAATCATATGAGTGTAAGGAATGTGGAAAGGCTTTTACTCGTGGCTCACAACTTACTCAACATCAGAGGATTCATACTGGTGAGAAACCCTATGAATGTAGGGCATGTGGGAAGGCTTTTAGTTGTGGTTCGGCACTTACAAAACACCAGAAAATTCACACTGGTGAGAAACCGTATGAATGTAAGGAATGTGGTAAATCTTTTAGTTGTGGCTCAGACCTTTTACGACATCAGAGAATTCATACTGGTGAGAAACCCTATGAATGTAGACAGTGTGGGAAGGCTTTTAGTTGGATCTCATACTTTTCTCAACACCAAAGAATTCATACTGGTGAAAAGCCTTATGAATGTAAGGAGTGTGGGAAGGCATTTAGAACTAGCTCATACCTTTCCCAACATCAGAAAATTCACACTGGTAAAAAACCATATGAATGTAAGGAATGTGGAAAAACATTTTGTTGGAGCTCCTATCTTACAAAACATCAGAGAATTCATACTGGTGAGAAACCCTATGAATGTAAGGAGTGTGGAAAGGCCTTTAATAAGAATTCAAAACTTGTTCAGCATCAAAGAATTCATACTGGCGAGAAGCCCTATGAATGTAAAGAATGTGGAAAGGCCTTTAGTAGGAGGTCAAGCCTTATTCAACATCAGAGAATTCACACTGGGGAAAAACCCTATGAATGTACAGAATGTGGGAAGACCTTTAGTTGTAGCTCATACCTTTCGCAACATCAGAGATTCCACACTGGTAAGAAACCCTATGAATGTAAAGAATGTGGGAAGGCCTTTAGTTATCGCTCTAACTTTACTGTGCATAAGAAAATGCACACAGGTGAGAAACCCTATCACTGCATGAACTGTGGCAAGGCCTTCACTAGGAGCTCAAGCTGTATTCAACATCAGCGAATTCATAATGTTGATTAACCCAATGAATACAAGGACTGTTTAGGGGATTTTTTTCATGGTTCAGAGTTTATAAAACTAAAGATAATCAAAATAGTAGAAACATGCTATGAACAAAATAAAAATTGGAAACATTATCAATATCTTCAAGTTAATTGGCATCAGAAAATCAGATACACTTTACCCTTATAATCTTATGGTATATATTAAAAGGTTTATATTTGAGAGTGACCATGTGAATTTATCTTTTAAAATTAATGTCTGTACTTTTATATTCGGCTTTGAAGCCATTTCAGATTTTACTAGAAATTATGAAAGTATCTAAATTTATAATTTATCCTCACATCCTTATCTGAGGACTAGGTAATCATTAATTTCTTTATTCTACATGCTTGTATTGCTTCCTGGTCATTGATGTGTTATATTTTTATTAAAATTAGGCGGTGTGTTAGGACCCTCTTTTCTATTACGGTTTACCCTTAAACCACGCAGGAGTTAGTGATGCTGACTGCTTCACATAGCTGAAAATCCACACATTACTTTTGATTCCCCAGCACTTTACTATTGATAGACTCCTGTTGAACAGAAGCCTTACCAATAACTTAAACAGTCAATGAACACACATTTTGTGTGTTACATGTATTATATACTTTATTCTTACAATAAAGTTAGCTAGAGAAAAGAAAATATTATTAAGAAAATCATAAGGAAAGAAAATATATTTACTATTCATAAAGTGGAAATGGATCATCATAAAGGTCTTCATTGTCTTCACATTCAGCAGGCTGAGGAGGAAGAGAAAAAGGATAAGTTGGTCTTGCTGTCTCAGAGGTGGCAGAGGTACAAGAGGAGGTGGAGATAGAAGGGGCAGCAGGGAGGCAGGCATATTTGGTGTAACATTTATTGAAAAAAATCCTCATATAATTGGACCCGTGCAGTGTAAACCCTGTTGTTAAAAGATAAACTATACTTTGATCCAAAATATCTGTACTTGCTCTCACTATGTAAATATCTAAATTTAATAATTTATATAATGGATATATTTATATCTCTTTGTTTTAAAATCTGGCTTTATTTATTTTGCCCTTTATAAAAAGAATACCACAAAATTTTAGTTGATGTAGAGAAGCACAAGGAAGGAAGATAATTTGCAGTCATAGCAACCAGAGAAATCCACTGGCAAATAATTGTATCAAACCAGGTTTTGCGCTTATGAAAGATTAACATACTATACTACTATACTTTTACCCTGCCATTCCCATGCCAAAGAAATTTTCCTGTTAATGGATAGAAATCTTCCATAATTATTAATGGCTTCACTGTATTCCCTATGGGACTATATTTACCACATACCTTCAAAGATTTGCCTCTGATTTGGGAAGATCATGAAAATTGTCCTAGATTAACATTTTAAAAGACACATCTTTGTATGCTTATCTACTTTTTTATTTTTAGGAAAGTTTTTATTGCCAATAATGCACAAATACATTATTCTTATGAAAAAGATTTAAACATGACAGATTCTTAAATTCCTGTTTCGTGTCAATCCTGAATTCCTGTACACTCTACATAGGCAACCACTCTTATCAGGTTAGTCTTTATGATTCCAAATCTTTTATCTAAGTTTTTTAGTAATATATTAATATGTTTTATGATATGATGTGTATGCATTATAAAACAGGGAGAGATTCTACCCCATAGTGTGAGTGTGACGATCAAATGAATTAATAAAGTGCTTAGAACTGTACCTGTCGTATAATAAACGTTCAGTAAATGTTAACCATCATGATAACTGTTTGTGGATAGGAATTTAAATATGTCGTATACCATGTTCAATCTTACAGATTGGGTAGTTATCATGTTTTCAGTGTAATAAATATTGGGAAGACTTCAGTAGTTTTAAGTTACTGAACATGAAAGAATTTGTTGTGAAGAATTGAGGAAAAACTGAACCTAATGTGTGTGAGCATTTATTTAGACCTCTTCCCATAGGTTGAAGAAAGATACCATGTCAATATGAAACTCTGTAGGGTATATGTGAGCATACCTATCTAAAGATCAGAGAAAGATGTTTAAATGTGTCTCTATAATCAGTTTTTAAAAATGAGACTTGATGTATAGGTCATGCTTTTTGATCAAAATCATAGTAATAACAAAATCCTTGACAATAATATAGCCTACAACATCCAGATATCCATTTAAGGTCTATCTAAATTGAAATCAAGACAAAAATTACAAAGTCTTTGAAAGAAAATGAATGTCAAAAACTCCACTATATAGAAAAACCTAAAGATTATGAGAAATGCTGTAACCTATAAAATATGCTACCTTATAAAATACATAAGACTAAAATGCATGACACATTAGAGTATTGCAAGAGTAATTAATTACTAATTAACTAATTAAACATAACACAAGTAGCTTTTAAAAAGGACAGTAAAATTAAAGGCAAAAGAAGGATATAGAGACAGAAATAATTGACATAGAAACATGAAAAGTAACTTGAGTAGTAAATAGTACAAAAAATTATTGGCTGTTCTATGAAGAAACTATAAAAGTTGGGAAGTTATGGATATAAGGTGGCCAACTAGTAGGTCCCAATGCTTGCCCCCACCCCACCCCAAAGCAATGAATACAACTACATACTGGCAAAAATAGCTCTGGGAGAGCTATGGAGTACAAAAGAAACTGCAGAAACTCTATGGGGTACCCAAAACAAGGATGGCTGAATAGAAAAATGTAGGAATCATTTTACCTTTGCCACCCCATACTACAATCTGGCACAGTTCAGCACCTAGAGGGATCCCATTGACACAACTTCCCCCTATGGGGTAAAGGGAGAGCAAGAGGACTGAAGAAGCCCTTGTCATTGCTGTGGACACCTGCAGCTGCTGCCACTGAGTACCCCTGGGTTCAGCTGACCCAGCTGCCTAGAGTCCACGTCACTCTGTCTCTCCCACAAAAAGCTTTGCCACTAGATCCAGACCACTACTGCATAATACCGCTCTCCCCCAGGCCAGGGGAACCTCTGCATACTGACTTCTCTCTGAGGCCTGAGCCACAGCTACATATCACTGCCTTGGCACCAGAGCCACCAATATCCACCACTCCTTTGAGGCCTGAGCACACCACCGCCCTAGGGCTGTAGCCACTGCTGTGCACTGTACCAGTCTAACAGCATCAGCACCACCACCCCCTCCCACACACATGTACGTATCCTAGACCCCAGCTTGGCAGGAGCCCCACATCTACCTGTGCCTCAGGTACTGGTGCTACCATTGCAGTGGGTATGCCATGTGCCAGATCTGGTGCCAAGAGGGATCCCCATCGCCGCAACTTATTCATGTGGGGGAAAAGGAAATGAGAGGCCTCTACTGCCCTTGCCACTATCATGGATATCCATAGACTTGGCCATGTAGGACCACTGTTGTCTTTGCTGATGATCACCTAAGCTAATGTTGCTCCATGAAGACTATGCTTCTGTGTCCTTCCTGAAACCAACACTGCTGCTGTGCTTGCCCAGAAGCTAGAGCCACTGCACCCCACCCAGCCAGCACCCTCATACCCACCCATATGTGAAGGTCTTTCCCCTCCAAAGCCAATCCATAAAGTCTGGAAGAGGTGACTGCTTCCTCATATGCATAGACATCATTGCGAGGCCACAAAAAATGTGAAAAATCAAAGAAATATGACACTGCCAAAGAAACAATAATTTTCCAACATCAATCCCAATAAACTGGAGATCAAAAAATTTGCCTATGAATTCAAAATAATTGTTTTAAGGGACCTCAGAGTGCTCCAAGAGGACACAGACAACTCACTGTATCAGAAAACACAATACATGAACAAAATGAGAAGTTAAACGAAGAGATAGAAATCATAAAAAAAAGAATCAAGTTCTGGAGCTAAAGAATATAATGAATGAAATAAAAATGTAATAGCTTCAATCTCAGATTTGGTCAAGCATAGAAAAGAATCTTTAAACTGAAATACTGGTCGTTTGAAAGCCAGTCAGAGGAAAAGAAAAAATGAAAAAGAAAGCATTTATGTGACACCATCAAGCAAACCATTATTGGCATTAGTGAAGTTCTAGAAGTAGAGAAGAAAGAGAAAGAAACAGAAGTCTTACTTTAAAAAATAATGCTTGAAAATGTCTCAAATCTTGGGAGGGAAGTGAACATCCAGGTTCTTAAAGCTCAAAAGTTCCCAAACAGGATCACCGTCAAAGAAGACTACACCAAGACACATTATAATGAAATTATCAAAAGGCAAAGATAATTTTGAAAGCAGCAAGAGAAAAGCTACTTATCACACATAAGATAACCTCCATAATATTATCAGCATATTTCTCAGCAGAAACCTTGCAGGCTAGTAGAAAGGGCAATGATATATTCAAAGTGTCGAAAGAAAAAACACTGCCAACTAAGAATACTATACCCATCAAAATTATCCTTAAATTGAGAGGAGAGATAAAATTTTTCCCAGAGAAACAAAAACTGATGGAGTTCATCACTACTAAACCCATCTCACCAAAAATTCTGAAGGAACTTTTTCAAATTGAAATGAAAATTTGCTAAACAGCAACATGAAAGCATAGGAAAACATAAAGTTTTTAGTTCAATTAAGTCCCATTTATTTTTGTTGTTGCTGTGTTTGCTTTTGGGGTCTTAGTCATAAATTCTTTGCCTAGGCCAATGTCTAGAATTCCTGTGTTTTTTTCTAGAATTTTTATGGTTTCAGGTCTTACATTTAATTCTTTAATCCCTGGCTTTAGCATTATGTAATTCATCCACATAAGAAAAAAACACTTGTACCCCCTAAATCTATTGAAGTTTAGAAAAAAAG